TGTAGGACTTGGAGTACTGAGCCAACCTCGGAAATCATTTTTTTTTTACTCTTGGGTAACAATATCATATGCATCACAAGGTAAAACTAACGAGCAAAAACTCAGTAAGTAGATTTCAAATAAAGTATCTAAAATCTCTGTGGGTGGAATCTCTTTGTTAAACATTATTCATAAACTTTCATACTTATTCTTAGTTTAGGTATGATACAAAACTTAGGTTCCAAGTAAGCATCTCTATACAGGACCATTTTTAATTTTGGCAAATTCTCTTCTCTTAAACACTAAGCGGGGTTTTCAGAATCTCTTTCTTTGTGATTAACAAGAGACTTCCCACTAGTATTTTCCTTTAGTTGTCTCAAAGATGCAGTTAATCTAATTTGGGGCACTGGTCCCTCGCATCCTTGCTTCCCCAGCCTCTCATCTATATACCATACCATAAAAATCTCTTAAAACATAAACACATAATAAGCAAATATCACATTCTCTTTCAAAATAATTAATCATTAATAAACATAATCATATAAGAATTTCATCAGATAATAAACTTGCATAATCACAATTCTGAACAAGTTATTTCGTTAAATAGGTCTTGTGATGCAGTTTTAAAAATGCTTTAACTCTACTTGAATTTCGATCGCCACTTTGCAAGCACAAACTAGCTAGTTGTGGGGAGCCTTCAACGTGCTAATTAACCTTTAAAACCCATAGTTTCGAAAAATCACATTCATATCATAATTTAACAAAACACATAATTGCGCGTTGTTACGAAAATATTCATAACAAATTCATCAAAACTCAAAATATTATGAGACCGGTGGCAAATAAAAGTAGACTCAAAACCCTCTTTTTAGAGCTACTACATGATAGGTTTTAGATTTTTCAAACTAACCAAAAACAGTCCGAAATCCGGATTGAAGTATAATCTCGTTAGGAAAATAACAGCTTTTTAGCTGAACTTATCAAATTCATAACTAAATGTAGAAAAATCCGTTTAGAGCGATTGAAAAACTCGCGTAAAGCTTGAGATGTATAATTTAACAAAAAAATATAAGATCAATCAAAATAATAAATATATATAGCACGAAAACTGAATCTACGTAAGCTGTACAGATGACTTATATTTAAACATTTCATCAAATACTTAGCATGTAGATCTTAATCTTCAAAGACCCACTCTCAAATACATGAATCATCATCCTAATAAGAGTTTATCTTCAAATAATCATCAATAATATCAAGCTAAAATCATAATTTCACCCAGAAAGCAATATTTGAACTAAAACCTTAAGAAACTCATTTTTAAGGGTCTAACCAACATGCATGATAAGCCACATCAAAAATCTGAATCTCAAGTAGGATTTCAACATCTTAATCTCTGGAATCTTAGTTTCTAACATAAGAAAGAAGTTACCTCAAAGAAAAACTCATTCCCAAGTGAATAGAAGCTCAAAACCTTGATAGTTATTTTTGGTTCTAGGTTGAAAAACGAGTTGAAATGGGCTGTTTGAGTTTTTAGCTCATTCTCTCTTGAAAATCTAGGTTTAATTCTGAGTTTTGGGTGAGAAAATGAGTGAGAAGAGAGAAGAAAGTGCTATGGTCAGAGTTCTAGGATTTTTTTGCTAAAATAGACCCAAAAATGAAGTCTAAACTTGTTAGAAACCAAGTAAAAGTAAAGTGACCTTATAGTAGGACAAGTGTCTAGGTTTTTCTAAGTCTCTAACAGCTGTCCTAACCTCATAAAATCAGCTCTAAAGTCTCTATTTTTCTTCTTCAATTAGGTGCCTAAAGTTCACTCAAATTCCTAACATAGCCTTCTCTCACAAAAACTCAAACTAACAATTAAGTCCTCAACACATTTATATAAAATCATATAATAAAATATAAAATAATAATTCATCATTAAATCAATCATAATAGAGGTAAAATATCATATCAAATAATCATAATAACTATCATTTTTCCTTCATAAGTTTAACACATTGAGTTCCAACATCGAGCTAGTTACACTGCACATTAAAACTGAAAACTCGATTAGTAAAGCTATAAGTTTAATAAAATCATATGATAGCTATAATAATAAAATATAATGCCAACAAATAACTTTGAGATAAATGGTAAATGTGGTGCATTATTTTAATTTACTAAATTTATTTATTATTGGCTTATGGCTTAATTAAATCTCGGGTATTACACCAAGAGATATCCAAGAAGCTATGAAGAAGTTTGCATGTAGGCAAGCTGTTTTAGAAGAAATGAGAGCTCTCGAAAGGAACTATACTTGGGATGTGGTGAGAAGACCAAGAGAAAAGGCCCCGGTTGGATGTAAGTGGGTTTTCACAGTCAAATACAGGGCAGATGGTCTATAGAAAGATACAAAGCTTGTTTGGTGGCTAAGGGCTATACTCAGACATATGGGATAGATTATCAAGAAACTTTTTCTCCAATTGCCAAGATCAATACAATTCGAGTTCTGTTATACATTGCTACTAATTTAGATTGGCCGTTACAACAACTTGACGTAAAAAATGCTTTCCTTAATGGGGACTTGGAAGAGGAAGTCTATATGGAGATGCCACCGGGATTTGAGGACAAGGGTGATCAAGTCTGCAAGCTAAAAAAGTCTCTGTATGGACTAAAGCGATCACCGCAAGCCTGGTTTGATCGGTTCACTAAGGTGGTTAACGAACAGGGATACAAGCAGGCCGGAGGAGGCCACACGTTATTCTATCAGCACAAGAATGATAAGACCACCATTCTCATCATATATGTTGATGATATTATATTGACTGGAGATAATACCGAAGAAGGGGAGAGACTAAAGAGAAAACTGGCGAAAGAATTTGAGATCAAAGATTTAGGAAGTCTCAGGTACTTTCTTGGAATGGAAATTGAAAGAAATAAATGTGGGATCTCAGTCTCACAAAGGAAATATGTGTTGGATCTCCTAGAAACAGGAATGATGGGTTGCAAACCTGCAGAGACTCCGGTGGAGCCAAGTTGCAAGAAAGGAATGAGAGACAGTGATCCTATAGACAAAGGTAGATTTCAACGTCTAGTTGGGAGGCTAATCTATTTGTCACATACTGGACCTGACATAGCTTTCGTTGTTAGTCGAGTTAGCCAATACATGCATGCATCCACCAAAGAACATTTGGAAGCAGTGTTTCGCATCCTAAGATATCTGAAAGGAACACCTGGACGAGGCTTGTTCTTCAAAAAGGGAGATGAAAGAGGTGTAGAAGTATACACGGATGCTGATTGGGCAGGAGCTGCTGATGATAGGAGATCTACTTCAGGGTATTGTACTCTTGTTTGGGGCAATCTTGTAATGTGGAGAAGCAAGAAGCAATCTGTTGTCGCAAGGAGCAGTGCCGAAGCAGAACTGAGATCTGTGGCTTATGGAATTTGTGAGGTTTTATGGCTGAGAATGTTGCTAGATGAACTTAAGGTTGGAGTTACACTTCGATTGCGTGCTTGTTGTGATAACAAGGCAGCCATAAATATCTCGCATAATCATGTACATCATGACAGGACTAAACATGTAGAAGTGGATCGACATTTTATCAAGGAGAAGATCAAAGAAGGAACAGTCCTTATGACATATGTCCCTACAACTGAGCAAGCTGCCAATATTTTGACCAAAGGATTGTCTAGACCCTTATTTGAAAAATTAGTAGACAAGTTGGGCATGTACAACTTATACAGCCCAACTTGAGGGGGAGTGTGGACAAATCTAGACTGATTAGGACCTATTTATGGTAATTTCTTAGGTCAAAGTAATATGCTAGGTTTATGCCCATTGTATTATAAAAGGATTATTCTTCTTTATTCTTTCATTTTCTACTATGTTTTCAGAGCCTTTTTATGGCCGGTTGTACTTCATTCCAAATCATAAGAGAATAAGAAATAAAGCAGTGTTTTCTGTTCACTGTTTTCTACCCTGTGTGTTCACAGGAACGTTAACGGAACAATAGCTAAAACGAACACTGTCTCAACTTGTTCAAATTGGCATGCTGTATGCGCCTACATTGTGGCCTAGCCTTCACCATGTCGAAGAGAATCCGTATATAGAAGCGTTGACATCTAATAGTATTTGAAATTTCTTAGTACTAGTTAGCATGGCTAGATAGTTGGGATAAAAGTTGTTTCTATTTGTCAAGTTAGCATCGAGACCCAAACAGTTGGTATCCTAAATTTGTCTGGTCAAGAAATTTTAATATCCTAGCAAATCCTTTAATGCCCCGGCCGGTTTATCAAGTCCGAGAAGATTTAGGCCTGGTTTGGTAATGTTTTTTCAACAACCAGAAGCACTTCTCCATTAAGTTTTGGATTAAATTACGATTGGTAAAAAACCTCAAAAGTGATTGTGCAAGAAGTTGGTGGAAGGCTGCTTCTGCTTATGGCTTATGCGGGAAGCTGTAGGATCATTTTAATGAATTTTTTTAAAACCCAAATTACCCTGTTTAAAGGTTCTTATTAGACTCATCACCTCTCTCTGTCTCTCTCTTTCTTCTATCTCTGTTCTCTCTCTTTGAGCTCTCTCTCTCTCCTTTTTTTTAAAAGTTAAACAAGTATTTCTTAATAACAAATAAAATTATACATATTTAAATTTCATATCATTTCTATTTTGGTCATCTTAACTACCCACAGCAATTCAACCTTACAATTTACCAAACGCTATTACACTGCTTTTGAAACCAACAAGACTTGTATAATTATAGTTTATCAAATACTCAGTTGCTTTTTGTAGCTGCTATTTGTAACAGCTGCCTTTTTTTTTAGCACAACTAACAGTAATTTTTCTAAAATCTGCAGCACTACTAAACTAGCCCTTATTATGACTTGTATGTTTTTAAATTTTACCTAGGTACTGATTATGCATAGCATGTTCTAGACCTAATTAAGGGGGGGAAAAAAAGCTTCTACACTACTATTATAGTTATATATCTCAAAACTTCTATCGGCACTATTCATGTATACCAATGTACAATGATCTGCAGGGTGGTGGAGAAAGCCGTGATCAACTTTATCAACGCTGCACTTCTTCATTGCGGGGAATTGGTAGAAAGCATAAGGGTATGATCTCACTACCGATGTCCCTTTTCTATAACTACACTACCATGTAGTTTGCAACATATTCTTAGTTCAACATCAGCCCGATTAGCTTATAAACTGATGGTCCAAAAACTATTTTTCATTCCATTTATTTGCTCATAACTTCCTACAAATACTTCAATACACTGCAGTATACTCGGATCTTCTCAAATGTTACTACTGATGTGTCTTTTATAACTACCCCACAAATGTATTTTGGAACACTTTCTTAGTTCAACCTAGGTCCGGTTAGTTTATAAAAAAATAAATAATAAATAAAATAAAATGTTCCAAAAACTATTTTCCATTTATTTGATTATAACTTCCTACAGATAATTCAGTACATTGGAATATACTCGGATCTTCTCAAATGTTACCTATATATAATAAAATAGCTTTAAGACCTTCAACTAGTATTTGGCCGCTTGAAAGTTGAGTAGACACTATTAGACCACTACATCATTTCTCTAATCTCTATTTGTTCAAAAATTATGTGCTAGTACAAATTGACAATTTGCAAACTGATGCCCCATTTGTTGCATAAATTTGAACTGCTATTTAAATTTTTTTACTGCAATATTTTTTCACAAAATCTAAATTTCTGTTGAAACCTGGCTATGAACCAAATGGGATATGAACTTTTTATATCCTTATCTCAATTTTCAGGACAACGGATGATTCTGGTCACGCATGGCGGTTTCATCAGGACGCTCTACAAGTGGGCTTGCCCAAATGAGAAGTCCCCTGGGAAGATACTTAACACATCTGTAAACGTATTTCGCTTGGCTGATGGAGACAAATGGACCTTAGAAGTCTGGGGTGATGTCTCTCATCTTGAAGAAACAGGATATCTACAGTCGGGTTTTGGTGGGGACCGAACCTCTGGTTAGTGGTTAGTTCATCCTTCCACTACTCATTTGGAGGAAATGAAATGCTTGGCAGTTAGCACCATTAAGGCGCTATTATGGGCAATTTTTTAAACCCGTTTTGGGAATTGATTCGTGCATTAGACCTGTAATTTTTTTTTAACATTATTCATACAAAGATTTTCCCAAATTGCTGTTCAACATTATATATCAACTTGAGGAGGAATATCTTATATGTAGTATGGTTCACTAGCAAAAAAAAATCTTAGATGTAGTATAATAATTCTTCATGTTATTTATGAGTTTGTTGGACTGATCTGTACGATTGCTATAAATGGTTAATTGATGTCTCCATGAATGATGGTAGATGTGAAGGGAAGGGTCTAAACTCTAAGGGATTCTTCTTTTGTATTTTTGAATTATGGTGACTTGAGTGATAATTTTGAGTTGAATTTGAGTTATAATTTTGAGTTGTAAACTTAAATTTTACAAAAAAAACATGAACTTAAATAAAGTTGTAACTCGAGTTCAAACTTTTTCGGAATTTCATTGCAAAAGAACAACCCTTAAATATCAAAAAGTACATCTCTCATCTCAAATCAAAAAGTACAGCTTTCATCTCAAATGAAGATGAACACTAAGGCTTCGTTCATTTTACCGATTCGAGTTTTCAATTTCAGTTCTGCTATAGTTAAAAGCTCTCATAAGAAGTCACATCTAACTTTTTCTATTACAGTAAAAAACTCTCACATAAAATTACCTTTCGACTCGAATTCGCGAATTGAACGACGCATTTTCGTTCATTTTACCGATTCGAGTTTTCAATTTCAGTTCTGCTATAGTTAAAAGTTCTCATAAGAAGTCACATCTAACTTTTTCTATTACAGTAAAAAATTCTCACATAAAATTACCTTTCGACTCGAATTCGCGAATTGAACGACGCATGAATGACCCTTGGATTGGCAAAATGTCCAAGCATAAGATATGATCTTGCCATTTATTTATTAAGGTTGAAGAACTTGCCCGTCTCTGCTTTTGTTAGCGGTGATATCATGAGATTCTCACCAAAAGTGAACTGCAGTTTTATTCTAAGGTAGAAATTCGCCAGGACGCATTGTTGTGTTTATTGAAACCCACATTGGATCTCGTCACTGTTGTTTTCAATTTTTGAAAAGAGCAGAGATCTTTGAAGTTCAGTTTTGTAACTTTGTTTCTTACGTCATAAAAACTGCGGAAGTTGGTGTAAGGTGATTGTCAAGTAGGATCATAACATAGCCATATCTCACCAACTGTTTGGATGAGTATGAGAAATCTCTATCAATGCTCCTGTTCATTTTTATCAAAATGAACAAGTTTCTTTCATAGGTCTTGAAAAAAGGAGCTACAAAAAAAAAAATTTATTTTCAATCGTTAAATTTATATAAAAATTGTTTATTTTGCATACATTTTTAATTTGATGTATTTTAATTAGATTTAACTATTATAAATTGACTCTACTACTAAAAAAGTCCTACTAAAATAACTCTTTTTAGAGCTGTAAATTTAGACTAGACCAAACGAGCTGGCCCAAGGCCCACCACAATTGGCCCGGCCCATTTTAGCCAAGCCCAGCCCTAACCTTTGGGTCGTCAGGTTGAGGTTTTGAGGCCAAAGATAATTCGGGTCGGCCCAGTCCGACTCAAACTTCCTATTTTAAAAAAGTTTATAAAAATAACTTATAAAATTTCATACTGTGCTGGGCCGGTCCTAAATTTTTTAGGTTTTAGGCTGGGTTGGGCTGAGTTCTCTATAGAACCCTAGAACATCAAGAACACATTCACAGGATCAAATCATGCTAGATTATCAAGATTCTATAATGAGGAATAAATACCTGCATCCGTGGCGGCAACAATCAACTCTTTAGCGGAATAACAACGATGATTGATGAACATATTATTTATTTTTCTCAGTCAAAATCTCCTTAGTTTTTCAATAAGGGGACGTTTGTTTTCTATATTCGTCTCTAATTTTGAATCATGATTCATGGTTCTCTACAGTATTTTCTCTCATAAAAAATACACGTAAAACGAGAATGATTCTGAATCATGATTCTGAATACATAAACCAAATGTCCTCTAAGGCCCCGTTCATTTCGCTGATTCAAGTTTAGAATTCGAGTTTTGCTATAGTAAAAGGCTCTCACAAACAATCACATTTAACTTTTTTGTTACAGTAAAAAGCTCTCACATAAAATCACATCTCAACTCGAATTAAAAATTTAAATCAGCGAACTAAACGGACCCTAAGTTATTTCTCTCTAGATGGGATAGATGAGGCAGCTATAGAATGTTTTAACGTCTGGGGGACCATAACTCATAATGTCCTTGTATACTTTTCCTCTAGAGTCCCATTAAACCTAGTTAGATTAGTATTGGGTATTCACTCATTAAACCCATACCTAGTAGAAGTTTATGGGCTTCTCATAATTAGATCACTTAATAAAAGCTCATTATAATTGAGTAGCCCTAACAATATAGTTGTATTAAATATGTTGCCCACCTATAATAGGGAATGTAATTTCCCAACACAAAGTACTAGCGAGATATTTCGCTATAATAGAGGATATTGAAAAGATTTCACCCATATCTAATATTTGCAAGCTCTATATAAGGGTGTTCATGGATCAGACTATGTAGATTGGGGGTCGACCAACAATCCACTCCGTTACTGTGGATTGGAAAAATCTCAATCAATTACCCATCCGTGAGACCCCAACCCAATCCAATCCAATCAGAAGACAATGGATTCTACGGGATAAATTGATTGTGGATTCAATGAACATCCCTAGCTCTACAAATATTGTCTAAAACATGTGGTTTTCGCCATAAGTGCTTAGCTTTGAATCAGTATATTCCACGGGAACGGAAAAAAAAAAAAAAGCATAATTAATTATTCATGCCTAATAATAATCATTTTTCACTTTTCTCTATATTCCCGTTTCCTTGAAACTATTATGTAACATCTTTCTAGCTTTTGATGATTTATAGCCACCAACCGTGCTCAAAATCAGATGAGCATGCGTGTGCGTCATGGGTGATGTGGGGCTTACTCTTATCAATTTGGCAGTTGGTCTTTTTTTTTTTAATTTAAGATGAAAGTTATTTTTCTTCGTCAATAAGAATCGTGCTTTAATTATTAAATTAAGTTATTTAACGGTTTAATTTGTAATAAAAATAATTATGTGTTATGCATTGTAAATTTTTAATATAAATATATATAAATATAACTGTTAAAAAATTAATTTAATAATTAAAAATAATAATTTTAACTGATTGAGTAAAATAACTTTTTTCACTATAAAAATATATATTTTGTCCTTTCTTTTTCTTTTGGTTGGCAGGTAGTTATTTGAACGTGAAAATTATGTACTTTTTTTAATTATTAATTTATAGTGTTTGTCAATGGTTATTGCTATCAGGGTTGTTCAAGTTCTATATGTATCCCTTTTTTTATTATTCTTTTCTATTTTTGTTCTTTTTTTGGCGCTTGGGTTGTATGTATTTCCTTAACTTTTCTTTGAGAGATCTTCTTTGACTTTTCGCTCAATGATTCCTCTTTGACTTATGAAAAAGAAAATAGAATTATACCAACATATTTCTTTTTGAAATGAGGATTAGGCCAACATATTAATTGCATGAATAATGACTTTTTTTTCTTGGTCAAGAATCAATGTTCTATAGCAGTATAGTGACACAGAATGAAAATAAATGTTTATTATCAAGAAGTTAGGACATCATGTTCATGCTGGCAGACAAGGCTGAAAATTGACCTAAAGAGAAAAAATAAATAATATTTATATATTAATTAACTTTTACTAAAAAAAAAAAACAAAATTCCATTAAGTTGATTGAACAATATTGATTTGTCCAACAGGTCCATTGTGTCTTCAAGACTTCAACCAATTAGATTTTGTTATTTGTGCTCTCAAACATTTGGTGCATTATATTATTATTACGAATTTTTATGGTGTAGAATACTATTTTATTCTATTGATAGAGATTATTAATTTATAATTTTTAAATTAATTTTTTAACGATTAGATATGTTCTCCGTTTTATCTTTTCACTTTTTGCAAGGAAGACATAGAATGGACCAACTTCAAACATAATCCTCACTTTGATTTGGTGCCACCGCAAGAAGTAGCATTTGAATCAACCCAATGTAAAAAGTCAAAACGATGGCTCAAATGAGGCATATATTGCTGCAATCATATACAATACTTAACATTATTCCATGTTCAAACCGATCCCCTCTATTACTGTTTGACTAGGTGGGTCCTATGCAAGATCAATCTTTTTATTTTTATTTTTTGGAGATTTTCATATAGATCCTGAAAAAATAAATTATCAAAAAGTTTTTATTTTCAATCTCAGATTTATATCAAAAACTGTTTGTTCTATATATTTTTTCAATTTAGTGTGATTTTAACCATATACAACAGTCAGAAACTGATTTAATCAGTAAGGAGACCTACCAGAACAATTTTTTTTTTAACTAATATATGTAAGATCTAATTGTGTCTCACTTGATCTAATAAAATAATAATATGCCAGTTGATCGGGATGTTAACAAAATACTCTTTTTTTGGGCCAATATTAGATGAACCTCCTCAATAAATTAAAGATTATCTTAAGTACATGTACCTTGGGTAAAGAGTGCATGAATTTTCCTGCAAGTTAACTACCAATCAAACCATTTAGCAAAACTTTTCATCTTACTAGGGAAACAAGAAACAAACAATTTGTAAAGTTATAGTTTGTATTGTTCAGAGAGAGAGAGAGAGAGGGAAAAACAAAAAACAAAAAAAAACAAAACAAAACTGTTGTGGAAAATCCTTTTTGTGGGGTGCTGAATTATGACCCTGGCATTTGAGTGCGGAGCAAGATAATAAACATTGTTCATTTGTTGTTTGTTTTGGAGCAAAATAGGGGTGTATGGGGGGACCGATTTGTGGATGGGTTTTTCCACGAGTATTTTCTAAAAATTGTTATTTATGTTGTGAAATGTAATAGGAATAGAAAGTGGGGAAGAATTAATACTAATGTTTGCCACTTCCCTTCTGGCCAACAAGAAGATTTTAAAAATTCCATTGTTTTGAATTTGTTAGACTATTATATATGTTATGTTTTGGAATGAGATGGCATGTGCGTGCTTACACATCACCAATAAATTGGTATACCGGTAAGAATTTTTTTTTTTTTTCTTTTAAAGACGCGTAACGTTACGTGTTATCAGAAATTGAGAAATTTAGAAAATAATCTTATAGCATGATCAGAAATGAAGTATACCAAGATTAGTCTGAAATGGGAACAAACTGAAAATAAAAGTCAAAAC